ATGGGTAAGAAATCTGGTTCAAATAAAAACGTAACCTTGAAACAAAAGGTAATTGTTTTACAAATTCAGCCATTTCCAGTGCCCAGCATGTTATTTGGCAATACACAGACTTCCAGTTGGTTTCTATTTTCTTAGCAGTTACAGTTGCTCTCTAAAAGGATTTTACCCAAGTACTGTTTACATGTACAAAAGCATCTCCTATTGTCAGACTTCTGAGCCTTAGTAAAGTAGTGTCACTGCCAGTGAGCATGCTTGTTCTGTTCCCTGTTTCATGTGAACACAAACTCACCTGAGGGCATAAACAGTGTTGTGAAATAGCTTCTTATATCTTTTTTCTTACAGTTCTAGCTTTTAGCATCATGGTTTACAAAACTCAACCTGATGCCTAGTAACTGTTAATATTGAGCTGCTGTTCATAAAAATGTCAAATTTCGTTTCCAAGGTCTAATGTTTCTTAAAGAAATTGCACTATTTCTCTGGGCAAGCTTCAATGCCCAGATTCTTTCTTTAAATTGTTTAAGCAGTGCCTGATAGCATGTGCCAATCCAAGGACATGGTACGTGCACAGCTTCAAGCCCATACAACAGGCGCTTAGAAATACCAGGATAGGAGAAAACTTCAGTTTGTTTTTAAAGAAGACTGTTTTGAAGACTCAAACCCCAGAATTTCAGGGGAAATCAAGTTGAAAGATAAGGGTGAGATGGTAGCAGCATGGTCACTGCTAAGTCTTAGCTATTTTCGCTCTAACTCTCCAGTGGCAAGAACTGAAAGCTATTTCTCTTACAGCAGGTGAGAATGGTGTTGGCTGAAGATTTGTTATTTGTGACTACTGTTCATTTAGGAGCAAGAACACTGCAAAGAGCTGCTTATTCATGAAAGCTGCTAGCAGAAGATGTTGGCTGATACATGCAAAGGCTGGGAAGTGATGTCTTCAAGGAGCAGGATCTGGGCAGTGCTATAATGTTCTTTCTGCACCTCAGAAAGTCCAGATGAGCTGACTCTCAGTGACATCCATTACACCCAGTGCCCCTTGTCAAATGCAAATGTCATGGCTCTGCATTGCTTTTGCTAATATAATCTTCCACTGCAGGATTTTCTTACGTTATCTCCCAAGCCTATGTTGACTATAGTCTTTGGGGCTCGAGTTCATCACTCGTGTTTCCTTTTTTTTAACTCCTTTTGGGGTTTCACAGCTCACCCAAGGCTGCAAGGGCCATGAACAAAGTATGTGAATATGCAACCACTTGCTGGCAGAGTAAACAGCTCTCAGGCAAGAGGACTGTTATTAAAATGGGTTGTTTTGTTGGCACAAGTGGCTTTCACTGTTGCCTTGGGTTGCTCAAGGTGAGCCTGACCTCTGTGGTCTCCGAAGCTCTCTTTTGTGGGTGAACTGAGCAATGCTGGAATGCAGCTTTTAAGATGGATTAACTGTGAGCCTAACACAGGAAACTGTTCAGAGGGAGTAAAAATACTACATTGCACAATTAAGGATGAAACGTACCTTTTGATCCCATAGCATAAAATTTCCAAGGCTGAGAGTGTGATTATTTGATAGGGCCATAGTTAGCTTGTCAGTCTCTTCTTAGGGCAAAATTCTGCCTTTCTATGTGCAAGGAAGGGCAGCAGAAAGGCAAGCATGTGGCTGACGGAGATGGGACTGCACTTTCCTGCTCTGAATGAGCAAGGTAACAAAACCATGCACACCACCTAACCCTCCTCAGCCAGAGCAGGTCTTTACATGCCAGGTCTTTCTCCTTTGAACTCTAAGTCTTGATGCAGTTTTGCATGACAAGCATGTCATAGCACAAAAGCTGCACTTCAGTGCTAACTTGCAACTGAAATATGTGCAAAGGCTGTTCCTAAGAAACACTAGTCATCCACCCAAGTGAAATTCTGATTTGCTAGCTGCACCCTGGCAACGTAATATATTCGCCTAAGGATAAACATGAATTGAGGTTTCTGGAAAAGGATGTATTTGTTCCTTGCTCAGCTTATAAACTCTCTTGCCACCATCTGCAAATCTCTTAGAGATGCTGTAAAATGGCAGATTACTATTACTAGGTTCATTCACCAGGGCTGCAGGGCAGAACTGATGGAGATTTATCTGAGCTAAATGAAGTTTTCTGTTTGATTAGGGTGGTGGCTTGGATTGTTTGGGTTTGGTTTAGGTTTGTTTTGGGTTTTTTTTTTGAGATTAGTTCTTTCCACTTTAAAACTGCTATGGTAGGTGTTGGCTCCCTGTTATACCACAGCTGAAAAACCCCTAACCTTTTTGCCACAGATGTTACAGGCAAATCAGTTTGAAGGTTTTTGCTTTCTCAGCTAAAGTTACTACTAGAATATGCAGCACTGTGCTGAGCTGCGCAAATAAGGATCAGGACTACAAAATATGAGTTAGTTATGAACTACAGACACTTTCAAATGAAGAAACACTTTTGCAGTCCAATACCATTACAAGATTCAAATCTAAAATGAGACAGATTCTAGGTATCTAAGTCCAAGTGATGAACCAAAGAATCTGAGTTTGGTGCCAGTGGGGCCTCAATAGTAGGGAATGATTGTGAACACTTTTGACTAGTACAGACAAAGCCTGTGTGTAATTGAGGAAGACAGGGTGCCATGATTGAACATCACCGATCCTTATCCTGCCCTTAATTCCATAATCAGCACTTGCATCACTGAGAGGCTGGAAACATTACCGAGGCCTCTCTTTCAGCATTAAGGTATCTCAAACAAGTCCCTTCCTGTAAGGATCTGCCTCCTTCGAAATGAACTTTCACCCTGCCCTGTGGTTAGCTTGGCTTAAGTCAGCAAATTGCCATAAAAATACTGGAATTTAGAAATAGCTTCAGCTTAGCCCATTTCTGCCTTCAAATCAGTGGGTTTTACAGTTATCTGTGATTCCTGAAAGCACTATCATTCAGCATCCAGCTGGCATCCATTTGACTACTGTTGCTGCTGGAGGCGGTAACCAACAACCACCCTCACTGTTGAGCCTAATCCCGAGTTCAGCAAAAGGAAACTATTGCACGCCATCTCGTGGCCCTGCACAGCTATTTCCTGGAAACAAACAGAGCTCCAACTGCGACAGGGAGGTTTAATGTTGGGCAGGATCGATTTAAAAGATGGCTGTCGGGCTCAGAAACAGCTCACTCTTGTAACCTCACCAAAGCCATGAAACGTTCACCACCAGCACTTCGCCCACATTCCTGCCTTGACCTTGGAGCCTGAGCAGCTCTCTCGTGGAGCCTCAAGCTGCAAAATGCACCTCTTCAGTCCAGTTTCTCTAGCAGTGCTGTAGAGACAGCCCCACACTCAACAGCAACCATACGTACCCTGAACACAACTGCCTCCGAAGCAGCCTTTGGTGGAGCAGGAAATTACCTTATTCAGTTTACAGTATGTCACAGACTTTAATAATTCTTAATTATATGCAAGACTAGGGATGTTCATGGTACATCTGTCTTCTTGTCTGCCGTCAGTACTTGTTAAAGAACTCGTGTCAACGTTTCAAATAAAGCTAATATGCCTATTAGTAACTGTTCATTAACAGCTGAACATAACTAATGGAAACAAGGCTACATCAGCTGTCAGTCACTTAAGTCCTTATCCCTCCTTACTTTCTTTTCTGGGGAAAAAGTCATTAAGAGACCCTTGCCAGAAATTATTAGGGTATGATTTAACTAAATCTAGTTGAGGAAATTAAAGAACACGAAAAGAGTGCATTAGTATGACTTCAAGATCTTTGTTTCTAGTTTAAGTGGTAAGTTTTTGACTCCTCAATCTTTATGACTTTTTAGCTGGGAGATTTACAGTTTAAAATCTGCACCACTGAATCCTCTCTGAATTTGAAGTCATGTTATCTTTAGCAGAATTGCTGATGGTCACACTTAAACACTGCCTTACTTCCACTGCTCTCTATCTAAGGACTCTAGTTCAAGGCATCTGATTACAGTCAGCAATCGCTCTAAATTTGGTACATGACAAAACTTGTTTCTACTGTTCTTGGGTTAGATAAAAATAATGATGATGACTCTAGCTGTGTAAGGAAGATACAGAAAAGACTGATACACTTGTGAGGCTTTATGAAGCTCAATACTTCCTCAATATACAGCAAAGCAAAGAGGGAACATCCTTCTTCTCATGCCAAGGTTTAATTCTGAGGTATGTGACATTGGATTTACAAAGGTAGATCAAAAATACAGTCTGAGAAAGAGTGAGGCCCCTACTTAACAAGGCAGAGGAATTTCACACTCCAAGAAGCTAAGAAACAGCTCACAGTGTGAAGAGAAGTATTTGGGGTCTGTCTTCAACACAGACTTTTGATATAACAGATGATGACGAGATGTGCAATAGTAGGGCAGAGGAAAGGCAAATATTTAAGTGAAAAAGATGAGACAGGACAACAGGTCCTAGATAAGGCTTCCACTTGAATTAATTCTTTGAGACATTATGATGAGCAGTTAGATGCAAGTCCTATTCCAAACAGTGATCAGACACATATTGCCAAAAGCAATTACATAGCTGTTGAAACAGACCTTGGCTCCAGCCTGCTGCTGATATGGCTGAAGTTTGCATATGCTGGAAGCAAACACATAGAAATGAAACATCAGTAGTACAGAAGGACTGGAGTAGTACAGAATTGTCTTCTGCATTGACTGTACCTGATACCAGGAGTGAAGGCTATCACCTGGAATATAGCACAGGCAGCAGTTTATACAAGTGTATAACCTACACTTAATCTGCAATTATCATCCTGAACATCAATTTTAAAAGCCAAGTATGAATCATATGCAGACAGATTTCATGACTCACTGCTGCAGCTGATCTAACTGCTAGTGCTGATCCTGGCTGCCATTAAGAAGTCTGGCATTCCCTCTTGGATCCATTCCTCTGGAGGGGAGCCCTTTCACGATCTGTGCTAGAGAGCTGAGCTAAAAACACTTAAATGAGAATTTAAGCATTAACCAAATAAATGTGCTATTTTGTCACATGAAGGATAAAATACCAGGAATTTATTGCTGCATGTATGCTTAATCCATTAATTTGTCTTACAGTAGTCATGAAGTGCTAAACTGTGTGCCATATTAAGCATTTCCTGTGTTCCCTTCCAAATGCCATTTTACAGCGGGCATAGGAAACAATGCAGCAGCAGTCACAAAACATGGCTTGAGCATCTCTCAAGAGCTTAAAAACAAAGATCTGTGTACAAGCTGAATAACGAGATGCCCGTTAATAGGTCACTCAGCAACTTTAATAGAAATATCTTTAGGTGGAAGTTTTGCGATGTTAAAATATACAACTCGGACTAAACATTCTCATCCCCACTGTAGTAACAAGATACTTGCAAAGATCAAGAAGTATGGTAGGTAAATGTCACACGCAAGAACCGCTTCATTTCTATCCGAAGCAAATTCTAATTACAAGCAAGGACAGGCCTAGCAGGCTAAAGCCATCAGCCTATATTAAAAAACATATACCTCCAAGTTTGGCAGTGGAATTCTATGTACCACCTTGACTTGGTTTTTGGTTACATACAAGTACTCTTCCTCCCCTCCCACCACACACACTTTATAAACCCCTTTTATTATACCTCCATATTATTTACAGGACTCCTAAGATTAAGTACAAACTAGTATGAAATTAATGATAGGTTGCTCTTCAAATATGTATCCAATGGCTACATAAATACCAAGCCACTCCAACAGAGTGACCTGGAGTTATGATTCAGAAGCTTGTGCATCTGTGACTCCAGATGTTTTCTCATTCACTGTGGAGGATTCACTTGATCTGTCAACAACAGTTGCTGTAGAAGTTGGGGTAGCACTATCCAAGGTGAGCGTCGAGGTCTGTTCTACATTTACAGTAGTGGCAGGGTTGATGGGAACGCTTACGGCTTGAGTAATGGAGGGAATCAAATCTGTAGGCACTGTAGATGCCTCTGTGACCAAAGGAAGCAGAGGAACACATTTGGGTGGCATTGATAGAGTTGTTATTCCCATTATATTCAACGGCAACAAGGAAGGAATGGATGGCATACCTAAGGAAAAAATAGGGGGAAAAAGGAAAAATAAAAAGGCAGCATGAGCTGCTGCATACCACAGACAGAGCTGGAGAGATTCTCCACCTGCTTAACTTTTTTATCATATCTAATCTCCTGTTTACTCCTGGAGAGGAGGTAGCTTTCTGAACTTAGTGTGAGCATGACATATGTGCAGCACTGACTCAGCAAGCTAGTTTCAAGCCTGATGCTTTTCAAATTTCAGAATTGAGGATCAGAATAAACTCAAGTTTGCTTCTACCTCCCCAGAGGACTGGGTATTTATTGCATTAATACTGATGACTAGGTTTTTCTGCCATTCAATGAAACTGCCAGAAACAAGAAGTTAACAAGAACCTTTTATGCTATATGAGCCTCCAATTTCTTTTTGTTTGCTTCATGTGCACCTTCAGCAGTTTAACCAAAACCATAAATCTATTATTAGTTCATACTGCTGGCATTCAGTCATGGTGCTTCAAATGCCTCATCTAGCAAACAAGGAAACATCTCACAATTTCTTCTACCCATAAAACTATACACTTTCATTCTTGGCACAATCCCTTTTGAGATCATAAATCAGGTAATATAAGGTGAAACAACTAAGTACAGACACAGGTTTCTAATTAGTTTATCTAAAGACATATTCCTTGTCTACCTAATGGGGCACTACCGTCAACTCTCATCTCCTTTAATTCATCTTCTTCAGGACTCAACCAGATGACTGGCTCTAACTGACAGCATCAAGGACCATTAAGGACAGACCTGCTGTTACAGTGTTTCAGTTTGCAGAAGGACATACCGGGCTGCACGATTTCTGGGACAATGTGTGGTGCAGGTAAATTAAGTTTGGACAGATCAGTCAGGTTGGGAAGTCCTGCTGGTAATGGCATCAGACCTAAGAGAAGAGTGGAAAAAGTTACAGCTGAGAACTTAAGACACATTTTTTCCCTAACTGTTTCTGAGATCTTACTGAAAATTCACTTTGCTTTACATCTTGATGAATGCAAGTTCACTCAAATTTCAACTTTTAGGTATCTGCCTTCACTGTGCAACTTATAGCAGAAAGTCCGTACTAGCAAATACATAATCCCAACTTTTCAGATTTTTCTGAGCAAAGTAGAATCTTATATTAAGGAATTAGTAGGTTTGTATTCCAAATTCAGCTTTAATAAAGGTAGCTATTTCACCACAGCATCCTACAGAAACCCTCCATTCCTATACTGCACAGCAAATGATAATCATAGGATGAAATACATAGTACTATTGGTCTCTTAATACTGATTACTACTTCTTTTCTACTTAGTTCATAAATAGAATTAAAACCGCAAAAATATCTAGAAAAGGCAAGACAAAGTAACTTTGGAAGTCAGGATGGATTGAGAAGAGAAACATAATGAACACAACACATGGTCTTCCATCATTGTGTTTGCTGTGGAACATCTTTTCCGTCCTGAATCTCCTGTCTTACAAAAGCTGCATTTCTTGAACAAGGGCTCTATTCTTACTTTACGTTTAGCTCAGAGAAGGCTATTTCTAAAATAAACTGTTGACACTATTATAATAAGACAGAGAGGAGAAAAGTCTTAAAGCAAGGCCACAATAGAGATTTTGATTAAAAACCAGTCATCTTTATCTACCTGTGAATTCATTAGGCACAAAGGCTGACAAAATTTGGCTCAAAGAGCTTTCAGCTCAGCTACAAGGAACTTTGGCCTGAACTTTTTTTTTTTTAAATCTGAAAACAGATGAACTTCATACATTCAAATTTTAACCTGTACATTTAATATTTAGAATTTCACTGTATAGTCATGCAAACTGCAAATAAATATTCTGATAGCTCTCAAAAAAGCAAGGACAGCATTCACAGAACAAGGTGAAAGGAAAATTTGTATTGGCAGATTTTGGAGAAAGGATGGGCAAGGGGATGGGGAAGAAGTAGACGTTAACAGGAGCTGAACTTCTTAAGTCGTTACCTATTTTCTCTAAACAGTACAAGATTAAAGTTGCTTGCCCTTTTGCATGCCCTTCACTCTACTACAAATTTTCTTCTATGTTAGAGAGCATTCCTCCAAGCATGACTTAAAGCTCTTGGACACATCTTTACATACATGTCTCATAGCATACAAAGCATAAAATACAAGTCCTTCAGTGTTCGGAGTGCACAACTGAGTCCTGTACCAGTGCACCAATTACACAGCAAAATCTTATACAATCCTCATGTTTCTCACTGTGAATTACCTTCGTATACCAGTTTAAATTACTAAGTAATTTAGAAACAGTAGCTGCAACACACAGATCTTTGTTTTTAGACCTCTATTTATACTAAGAAGAATGACCAAACTAAGTATTAAAAAGGAATTTCCAAAGCTGGAGGCTTTATGGGTGAAAAGAATGCAGAAAGGCAAGACTTGCCTTCTCAGATCTTTCTTCCCTCACTATGTCCCGAGTGCAAAGGACAAAGGGCAAACTGTGAAGTTATTTGCAAAAGTGTTTTGCAACAGACAATTTATGAACTGTGGAAAGTAACAATGTATCAACTCCAGAAACATTGCAAAGAGCAAGGCTAATACCTTCCTGAGAAATTCTGAACTGCATCTATTGTGCAGGGGACCCAAAAGGGGAAACGATTGTAAACTCTGTTGCCATCTCAGTCCTCCGTGCTATAGACAAGTTGGCACATACCCTAACAAAGCAAACAAACAAAACCCAAATCCTAACATTGTAGAGGTGGTATAGAGATCTTTAACATGAAATGTGCAATTTGTATGAAGTTACACCCTCTTGCCATCCAAAGGCAGTGGAAAAAAACAGCTATCTTCACTTGCTTCCTTAAGAATTTTGTTTCAAAGATGTTTTAAGAACTTTTCCCTTCTCACCTGGTAATGTTGTTGCTGGGTTAACCGGTGGCACAGAGGTGAGGGACTGACTGACTTGTGGTGGTAATAATGGAACTGTTGGAACACCTGGTGGCATACACAGGAAAACAACATTAATTTTAAGCATACAACACCTCAGCTCCCTTCCTTAAGGAGTACAAATAAATAACTGCTTACAGGAGAACTGCTATTTGCCTTAACCATAAAATGGTGATGAAGAAAAATAGTATTCTAAATAATACGCATCATATTTCTGATAGAATTTGTTTGCAGTTGTTTCATGAGCAAGTAGGGCACAATTACAGTATTCCAGCATTTCTTGTTAACAAGTTTGGGGAAAAGAACATTTTGTTCTCTTCTGCCTTCTATTAAATTGGTAGAAACATCTGTGAATGCAAAAAAAGCCAGGAACCTCACATATTTCAGAAGTCAGTTACTTCCATACTAACCTGTACTGAGAACGTTACTGACAGTAGTTGAGGGTGAACTAATAGAAAGTCCTGAAAGACTCTGTTCAAGTCCTGCTGACCCAGGGGGTAATGTGGCTGTGGGATTAACTGATGACAGTTGAACCTTATTGGAAGGAAAAAAGGAAAGTTACACCATCAGGGTTTGCTTCCACAAGAACCAAGAGGCAGAAAAACAATATAACATCAGGCTGTTTTTACCAAGGCAAAGAAGTGACTACAACTTACCTCTGTGAAGCCATCTTTGAGAGGACTGAGAGATGCACTAGGCAACTGTCCTGGGAGAGAAATTTTCTTTCCCTCTTCAAATGGGCGTGTAGGTATCCTATGTAAATATCCATAACCAATGCCACAGCCTAGGCTTTTAGAATGTGAACATTTATAAGTCAGTAAAGTGACTTTACAACTACAGACTTCACAGCAAGCAATGAAGCTGACTCAAGACACCAAGTTTCAAGATAAGTTCTGTAGAACTTTCCCCTTCCCCCCCCCCCAATGTTGTCTCATTTTCCATAGAGAAATAATCAATACAAGACAATGGAAAGAAAATTCTGTAGCTTTTAGCAATAAACATTTAGCAGAAAATAGATTTAACTGTTATTTAAACCAAGCAACTATATCAGATACACAGCTTGGAATTCAACTCACAGTTGATACTTGCAGTCCTCTGTTCTGGCTACTGTGCAATACTTTAATAATATACTACAGCTTAATGACTATTCAAAGCCTAATGCAGAAAGCAACCATTGCACTAATTTACACCCCCCCCCATTGGTAACTAAATCTGAATTTCAAATAAATATAATTGATTATAGCAGAAACACCTTTGATATAACAACAATCTTTTCCTGTCTTTGGAGAAAACTTAAGCAAGCAGCTTTTAGGCTTAGTGCTATAAGAAAGTCACCCTGCTCCCCTGTAACATATTGTCTCCTTACCTGCCTTCTCCACCCCAAGCAGAATTCGGAGTAATCACCACCTCCCGACAATTATCGGTGTCTGTGTTGTACACGTAAAGTTTTAATGGCTTTGCTTCATGTGTTTCAATAAGGGAAAAGAGATCTTCAGACTGTAAAAGGATAAAAATGAATAAGGGCCTTCTTGTCTTTATTTTATCTTTTGACATTAGAATGATCACCCTTCTAGACCTAACTTTCTGTGCCAGAACATGGTAACTGCTACATGCTCAATTGTAGCGCTGCTGTTTAATCCCAAGGGCAACTTTATAATGTGCTTTCCTGGCGCACCTCAGAAGACGTGGCACAACCCAGACTTCAAATCTGCTATTTGAAATATTAATATTAGAGTACAAAAAAGTTTCTATCTGACTTCATGAATACACCTGAGAGCAGTTTTTATTTCCAGAATTGCATTTAACATGAAGAGGCACCATGCCAGTGCTCCTTCCTCTCTGAATTAACTTACATTCATTAGCACTGAACAGAGACAGAACTGGGGATGTTTCAAACTACCCTGGTGCAATTATTATTATCTTATATTTTTCTTAGTTAAAAACAAACAAACACACACCACCTTATTTTTATATACTTACCTCATTCATGACTGTATCTGCTCCAATGATATAGTCACTATGAGGTCTAAGTCCAGCTAATGCAGCAGGAGAATTAGGTTCCACTTCCTAGTTTCAAGATGGAAAGTTACAAAACACTATGTAACTGTCAGGGTGTAACAGAACAGTTAGACGCTTCACAGAAGTTTTGAGCCAGACATACAACCTGGTCAAGTTTTCAACATTATTAGTAGTCACTGAACTAATGAAGCAGTGGCTTGATGACAGCCTCTTCTGACACTGTTACAAGAAGCTCCAAGTATTGTACAAACCCACTGATTTAAACACAAGATTTGATAATATGCTCAACATACAGTCCTACCTCAAAAGTCTTTCCAAACCCTTCAAAAGTTTTCCAAACCTTCTAAATCAGCAAAAACAGACCAATTTGATCTTGTGTAGCCCTTTGCAAGTTACTTTCCAATAAAGAGATAAAAAGTTTAACAGTAAGCAACAGTGAGGAGAACACGTGGAAGTCTGTACATACCAAAACATGCCATACGTTCTCATTGGCCCCATCAAAGCTGCAGAAACGAATGCTCACGCCCAACAGGCCCTGTCCACCCCACATGTTGCTGGGGGTCACTGATGTTTCCCTCAGCTCCAGTGTTTTGCTACTATACACCAGCATTTTTACAGGCTTTTCAACATTTGCTTTCAAGAGGTCCTTGAGAGTATCATTGTCTTTATTCTGTGAATGTTCAAACAAGAACTCAGGTTAGTGTTTATCCCAGCAACCATCCAGTTCTACAGCACCACTTTCGTATTTCAAATGTCCTATAAACACTGTGCATTATCAGGATAAGTATCTACAGCTATTTTATAACAAGCTTCCAGTCCCTTCACAATTCTAGAATATAACTCCAGCAAAAGCCTGGGATTTCACAGAAATGGGTCATGCCTTCCAAAAATGAAAGCACTTCAATTCAGTATGTGATACGATGCACCTCGCAGCTTTTCAGAGGCTTTCTTGAATCCAGGTGGAAGAGCTTACCCACAGCTGTCCTTTTCCACTGCTGTGATCATGGTTTGCCATCTTACTACAGCTCTGCTTGAAAACTTCCTCCCATGATTGCTGCCCAGCTAACAGCTTTGACAACAGCTCTTTCAACCAACCTGCTTTGACTGAAGTGAGTTTAAAAGTTCTCACACAAGCAGTTTTGCAGACAGAACTAGGGAAACACTAACACAAGCAGTGAGTGGTGAGTCAGTAGCAGATGTCTGCAGAGAGTTATGTCTGTCCTCTGTCTGCATCCTTATCCTTAAGCTAATATTTTTACAGAATTGTATATATTCTATATACACTTAAATAGAACAAATGCATTGATTTACCTGTCAGGCTAAGATTCACAGCACATTGTTTATATTCAGAGTTATAAAATCGCAACACACTTACCAGTCTTGAACCATTAATGGACACGATAAAATCAAAGAATGGCTCCAATCCAGCTCTATGTCCGGGAGAGTTTTCTTGTACCTAACAAAGTTGAACAAGAATTTAGCAGAAGTGCACCAATGCTGGTTCACAGCATTGATCACAGATCAGAATTTTATTTCTACTTGTGCAAACTGTAGCTCTAGAAGCTAGTATTGTCTCTATGACTTTTAAGTGCTCATATATAACCTTTTGGACCAAAAAAAAAAGTAGAGAAACATTTTAAAAGAACCAGTAATCTATCAATTATTGAGGAATGACCAACAGTCACCCCCTGGGATGAGCACTGCTTAACAACTGCAGTGGATAAACTGTAGATATTTACGTCAATGAAGGAGGTTATGGTCAAGCTTCATGAACTCTGAAGAAGTTGGTTAAAAAGCTGTATCTTTCCACAAAAGTACCAGTGTCGGACCTTGCTTTTTACCTTGCTTACTAAAGGAAAAGGAGTCACATCTGTGTAAGCAGGGGTTGTTATCTCACGATTAAACCTCATCTGTTGACATTCTGGAGGCACAGAGGAAACCTGTACAACCAATGATTTATTAACATACCAACAAGCTGCAAGAAAAGGGACTCCCGCTATTGTGCAGCTATGGCAGCTCAAATGATTTGAACACTCCACTGGGACAAGGCCTAAGTATTGGATACACATTGCTCCCAGAAGCTTAAAGTATGCTTTTAATTCCAAATGGAGTAACTGAGAGACATTGTGCCAGTGGTGTTTTTTCACTGCTTCAGGCGCTGCTGACTGACAAAAGTAACTCCAATATGGCTACTAGATTTTTCCTACAGCCTCTGTAGTAAAGGCGATCTTTCTTTATTCATAAGCTGATTCATTTTACCCACCGGCTTTATCTTTGATGTGCTGCATTCATCTTCCAAAAATATCTAAACCCCACCCTTTCCAGCGTGCTTTTTACATCATGTGTTATTCCACCTGGCAGAGACGGTACAAATCTGCTGGCCTGTTCAATACTGGTCTGATTTTGCAGGTATTGAGTTTTTTAAATATGACTCATCTAGAACAAAATATTCTAATATGGAGAAATCCCAAACTTGATTAATATTAAAACTATCCTCTTAGAGTCTATTTATCTCTGCCCAACACATTCACAAAATCAGAGCTCGGAAACTCAGATTACTTGTGGGTAGCTTTCTGTGACAGATGACAGAAGCTGGAACATTAGTGTCACATAATCTACACATTCATTAAAGAAAAATAATCTGGAATCAGTAGTTCCAGAGTCACACCACACACAGAGACTGCTGTCCAAGATTTGCAAAGCAGTAAAAACGTATGAAACCAACATTATCACAAAGCAATAAAAAAATCACTGAGGCAGCAATAACATCCTCAAACTCCACATTTATCATTTCTGACTAAAATTTGAAGTGTGTCTGCAGAAATAATATCCTACAACTGGGGGTACAGATATTCTCCCTCTCTGCCCAGTATTAACTCTACAGAACCACCAATCTCAACCAACAAAGGAACTTTCAGTCCCACTAACTAGACCCAAACTACTACCTCCGTGTCACTTACTGAATTCGTTGGTTCAAGATGCCTCTCACCAAAGAATAACTAAAGATCAGACTACAAGATGAGCACCAGGTAATAGGGTAAAAACACAAGCTAAGCTCCATGCAGCAGACCCTCTGACACCAGCAGCACAGAAATTCACAGGCGCACTGTGTATGTTGCTTTGACATTCCTGGACTGTCCCTTGAGCCCATTTTTAATTTAAATAATGTAGAGCTATCTCAGAAGAGCCTCCACAGACAGAAATTTTAGCTGATGAGAAAAGGCAGAGAGGCTAAAATACACTATATGAATTATACTTCTCAAATTTTGCTTACTAAGTTGGGTACTCGAGGCCTTCCTGCCAAAGATAAGTTAAACAGTTTCACAAAAGCAGAATTCAAGAACTCTGTTTTCCTGTGGACATGCCCCATAACTGCATGCTCAGGCTTGAAGTTTCTCTTGTAATTAAGTAATACAAAACATTCTCTCCTCTGATGTGTTTATTCTAGTAGCAAACGTAGAATGAGCTTGTGCTGTTTGTTGTTCTTCCCTCAGTTTAGGTAGGTGATGTGAAAATACTTTAATAGCCTCTCTCTCATTCTATCGCCTATGGCATGTGACATACAAGAACTCACATTTTGTGTTTTTAAAAGCCTGCCATAAAGGCTTTGTACCAGAATGAAATCAGCAGATGGTTTCAGAAGTCATTGAGAAAATAAGAATTTTAAAGACAGAACATGTCTGTCTAAACCTCAGCATTAAAAACAAAATAAAAACATCAGTAAATCCAGCAAACTGATATATTTATTCAGATCACGCAGCAGATTTTTAGGATGTATGTCATGGCCCTGAAATTATGAAAAGCCAGACTTCACTCAGCCAGTAGAACAGCTGCAAAAGCAGTCCTGACACAGTTCACTCTTTATTCAGAGATTTCACTCCATTTCTAAATGAGCTTCTTAAAAAAAACCCAAACAAAATCCCTACACAATATCCCTCCCTCACGGTTTCTGATAGGTTATACCCTGAACACTGTGACCCATTTTCAATAAGGCCATATTTTAAAAGAGAAGGAGCACCTATGATAAGTGAGACTTGCGTACGTTCAGCATCCATCAATGTCAACTTCCAAGCTGACACCTGGCATGTACAGATTTGATATTCTAAGCAAATTATTTACAGTCTGCCCCAAACTGATGAAGGGACTTGTGAGATCTTACAAGTTCCAAACAATTCGTCTGCAGAAAGTACCTTCAGATGTTGAGCTCCCTCCCTCAAATCCACCACAATCCTGAACACTTCTGAATGATTCATTTCTAAGTGGCCATGTAAAAACTACCAGGAAGCTGTATCTAAAAGAAATCAAGCTCTTAGAGTTGTATTCATCACACATGCACCTGCATCCCTTCTGTCATCACAGTTCCTCATGTTGCCGTGCACAGGTTCAGTGACAAGAAGCTTCCCATTTCCCTCTCTTTTTTGGCCCAGCATGATTCATGGAAAAGCATTTTTATGCCTGGCAGACTCAGAAATTCAGAACAGAAGTTCTGAATTTGTTCCACATGAAAAGTCTCCTCCTTAAAGGACAGACATACTCAGCCTTGCACAAAAATCACCACTAGCCCCATACAGCTTTTATGTCACACAACCTCATTTTCAGGCAGCTACCTACAAACTTCATTACCACAGCAGTGCCAAATGCACTACATGGAGCTCTGCTCAAAGCTCTGAGGCCATGATTCTCTTCCAGGAACTACAGCAACAAAGGAGAATCAGGGATCTAAGGAAATACAAGTGCACAAAAACCTCAGTAACGATGGAAATAAAGATTCCATGTATACGTACATACACTGTGGACCCCCTGAGCAATCTGGCTTTGTGCAGCTTTGCTGTATGCCCCAAGCAGGTATTCAGTAACTTGCCTTTGTAATCGAATAAGGACTGTGAAATAATCAAGTAATACCATTTACAACAGATGCCGCTGCAGGCACGGCAGTTTGGAAAGCCTAATCCTCCCAAAGCCAGCTGTTATTTCAGACATATAAGTTACAGACACCTGTGGGTAAATGCCATGACTTTCTAACAGTAGAGAAACAACAGTGGAACAGGCAGAGAAGCTGTGGAACTGCCACCACTGGAGCTTTTTCAGAGCAAGCAAAGACAACCTCTATCAGGAACGCCAAATGTCAGAAGACAGAAAAGGGCTGGATGACTTTTCCAGCCTTGTACAATGCTGCAGGACTTGTTCCTCACCAAGATGACAGCAGGGCTGCTGAGCACACAGATTAAACACAAATTATTTCACTTTTAATTCACTGTCAAGAATTAAATGGGGAAAAGGTTTCAAAGTCAAAACACTAATTTTAAACTGCACTACTAAAAAGACTTCTTTATCAGTAAATACGTAACGTTTCTCTTTGCTGAACACCTTTCCCAACACTATCACTCTATGCCTACACAGTATACACTGTACATTACATATTATAATAAGGCTGCTCAGCAACACAACGGTCACAAATTTAAGCCCCAAGCAAGCAGTGCTACTATGAATGGAATTAGGCACAGTGGCTCTGATTTTCAGAGGCAGATGAAGGTTCTTACCACTTTTGAGAGTCAGATAACTTATACAAATGTCCACTTAAACTTTCACAAGCTAGCTTCAAGCACTCGATACACAACTTTCAAGGAGCAGAAGCACAAGCTCCAAAGCTTCCCCCCACCCCACACAAGAAATGGCTCCTAATAATAATTACCAACAAAATGCTGAAAAAAGTTTTTCTTTAGCTCTTTCACTGACTGTAATTGGTAATAAAATTTCATTGTGTATCACATATAAGCAATTTCTGTTTGGTCCAACAATCTATTTAATTTCTGTCAGCTATTTTAACATGTTATATGGCATAACTGTATTGAATTTCCTTATGAAACATCCAGTTTTCAAGAGAAAAAGCTTTATAAGCTTTTTGCAAGAAAAGAGATTGCCTATATGAGCACCTTTTGTAGGGAGTGGCCCAGAACTGAACACAGTATTTGAGATGCAGCCCTGAGTACAGGGGGATGATCACTTCCCTGGTCCTGCTGGCCACACTATTTCTGATACAGGTCAGGATGCTGTTGGCCCTCTTGTCCACCTGGGCACAAGCTGGCTCACGTTCAGTGGCTGCCAATCAGCACCCCTGGGTCCCTTTCCACCCATCAGCTTTCCAGCCGATCTTCCCCAAGCCTGCAGGTTGCATGGGGTTGTTCTGACATCATCTATTAGTTGAAGAAACTGTCAAGTTATTACAACAGCCAGAGCAAACTGCAGCAGCTTGCACTGCTGAACAGGAAACTAATTTAAACTTTTCCTTCTTTCTATTTTGAAGAGAGAAACAAATGCATATTGAGCAATACCTAGCTGCTCTAATCAGACACACAGCTTCTGTTAAAGGAAGCTTACAGAGGAGAAAAAAGAAACAACAGAGAAAATTCCTAGAGGCAAATAGCACTGCATACTATTGGCCTGGGAGGTACTAGTTAAATGGAAGACTTAGGAGTGTTTTACATGAATCAGTAAACGGAAGCATAAGAGCAAGAAACAGATATGATGAATAAAAAGGTATTTGAAAGAACTGTTTTGAATAAATGACTGATTATTAGTTCTTCCTGTAAAGAGATCAGGGCAACACAGCAGTTTGTAATTTTCTTTTTATTTAAATAAATAATAAAAATGGGGCTACACTTCAAAGTCTAGAAACCCAAACAGCACAACCCACAGCAACTTTTCCTGTATGCACATGATTAAATCATTTTCCTTCAACAGCACTTCAGTCCTGAAGTGTTCCTATTTCCTGTAACAAGTGCACTGATAATAAAGTCCACAACAAAAGCAGTATTACACCAAATAATAGCAGGAGCAGCCAAAAAGATTTAAGTAAACTGCAAAACTTACGTCGAAATGTACTGATGGTATTGTTAACTTGCTGTATATATTTCTGCTCCTGTTTGAAGTGATCAGAGCAACAGACTTGCTACCAGTTTTGTAGGGAGGCAGTGTGTGCAGTTTAAAAGTCTCACTGTAAGAACCCTGTGATTTGCAACAGTCTCAGTGTGCACATCCCTCTGGCAACTTGTACTCAGCTCCTGCCATCATTCTGAACAACTTTAACTCATTTGTTTCATGGCCTTTTAACACGTTTTTTCAGTTATTTGTCCTACCCTAACAAATTCTTCCAATAACTGGCATTTCTCTAGTTTTCCACAACTAATGAAATCTTTACAACACCCACTACATGCTATTTATGGAAGTTTGGCATTATCAAAAAAATCTGACCTTATCTGAATTAGCTCTGTCACACTGAAAGATGCACTGATGGTTTCCTTCACCATTCTTGTTTATCTGAATAATTTTATGAGCTCAGAAAGTCTGCTTGAGAAGAAATTAGATGAAAATTGTGGTATTGCTTGACCCCGAGTTCTATCAAGGTTGATCCACACAGACAGAACATTTGTGCAGAGCTCCTTTAACCATGTGAGCCAAGCAAGCAGTCTGTCACAAACTTACTATAGAAATCAAATCAGAAAATTAAACTTGGAAAAACCAGAGAGGAAAACTCTGGTCACTTGTATGACACGTGCATTTCAACAGAAGCATTCCAAATTATAACTGTAAAGCTTCGTAATTTTTCTCTACTCTGAATCTATGCTCCCAACTCCATACAAGCACAGGCCTGATTCCTGTTAGACTGGGATCATGATGCAATTTAAAATGCTTGTCCACGGGAAGGAAAAAAAAAAAGAAAAGAAGAAAACTGCTCTTTGTTATGACATCTGAACTGCAAGATAAAGCAGGGAAAGAGAGACATCAGCCTAAGACAACAGGCAGGTCCCTGTCCTTCCTGCACTTAATGTCGATACAGCTGTCCTCTCAGAAATCTACTTCTTTAATGCGCACCTACAAACTACATTTACAAGGACTGGCAATCAAATGCTGCCACTTCAAGTCGTAACAAAAACATTACAACCAAAAGGAGCTTAAATGAAAACAGAAGGTGGCAGATTCAAGCAAGATTACAAGAAAAATACCAAGTAGATTATATCTCGTAGGAGATATGCATCTCAATTTACTAACCATGCTTTAATCAAAGTGCAAATTGACCAATCCAGCATAATTGATATTCCAACTGCAGAGCACTCACTGATTTTGGAACCCTCAATAACAGAAGGCACACTATAGTACACTAAAAAAAAAGTCTAACACTTTACCAAACCACAAGTGTTTTTTGTGGGGAAAAGTAAAATACAAAAAGGGCTGTTATACATTAGTAACACTGGAGTGCTAAATACCAGTAACAGTAAAAGGCAGAAGTAAAGACCACTGTGTCTTTAGCCTATACATAAGTTTTAAGAGATGAATGTTTGCATCTGAGCAGAAGATCAATGTTTGGTTCTCAAAAGCATTATAGCAGCATTTTCTAACACTTGAAAGATGATCTCTGTTCCTTTTTCACCATGGTACTCTAACACATATTTGTAGCTCACCAGTAGGCAAGATCCACATGTGAAGTCATGTGTTCTTGCACATGTCTAAAACATGGGGATAGCTCCGAACAGAGCGCTGATTTGAGAAGGTCTGATGCCAACAAAAACCTGGCCCAGCCCAGTGCACACAGTAAGGGTGCTCCCAGCTTCAACTACAGTGTCAAGAGTGCAATGGTGTGGGCAAGGCTATTAGTAACTCCTACAAAGTTACTGTACCACCTAGCACAGCAGATTCAACGACACAAGCCAGGTACCCTTCCCCTCACTGACCACGAAGGCCACGCTAAAGAACGGGCTTCCAAAAGCCTACGCACAAGACCTTTAACACAGTCTGGCAAATTTTGTTGCACACAAACATGAACTTTAGTGGCTGCAGTGCGAGCAAACCCTACGTAACTATGAAAATAGGTTAAAAATACCTATGAAGGTAGCTCTGGCAGGTGTCATGCCTGTCGTTTAAATACCTTGACCTAAGCCCCCGGAACTACCCCCGAGGGGGGGGGAAGCAGCTGCAGTTCATACCATGATGCAACGACCTAGAGCCTGACGTGTCAGCCGGGCCAGGCACCGGAGAGCTGCGTTCGGACGTGTCAAGCCCGTGTGCTCGCAGCCTTTTGCCTGGAGCAGCAGCCTTGCCCCCCAGGGCTGCGCCAAAGCAGCATCAGCTCCCGCGCACCGGCCCTCCCAGCCCGGTTAGAACTCAAACCGCAGGCAGAGCATCCCCCGGCACGTTCTGTGCTGCCCAGACCTCAGTGACCGGGCAGAGATGGCTCGGAGCCCGCGGGGCAGGCGCAGGCCGCGGGCAACTCCACGCAGCTGAGGCAGCGCGGGGCCGAGCCGTCCCGACGAGCCGGCCGTGAGCCCCGCTGCTCCGGGAACGGAAGCCGGCAGCACGGCAGAGGCCTGGCCGCCGGTACCAGGAGGCCCGGACGCCGCAGCTGCCCGAGCGCCTCCTCCGAGCCAGGAGAGAGCGGCGAGGCCGCCCGGTTCGGGGAGCCCTTCGGGGCGCTCAGGCGCGGACCACGGAGAGAGGCCGCTGGGCCCAAGGGCCAACACCTGCCTAACGACCACCGAAGCGCCTGCCCACCTCCCTTACCCGCAGGACGTGGTAGCCCTCGGTGCCCCCTCCGGGGATCTCGACGCTCTGCGAGGAGCCCATGGCTCGGGGCGAGCAGCGGCGGCGCTGTTCCCCGCACAAAGCCCCGCGCACGGGGACGTGGCACTCACTCACTCCCGCCCTACTCCCTCCCCACTCCCGCCCTGCTCGGGAGGGGCGGGAGAAGGCCGCGCGCGGGACATGCCGGGAGGCCGCGCCGCAGCGCCCCCTGCCGAGCACCCCCACTGCTAGGAGGAAGCGGAAGCCGTGCGGCGGTTAGGACAGCCCTCGCCAGCTCAGCCCCCGCCGGGGAGGCGGAGGCAGTACGGTGGCTGCCGTGGACCACTGCCCTCCAGCTCGCCTCTGGAGCGGCGGCGCCCCCTCGCGGCTGAGAGCGGTAAGGCGTCTGTGCGCGCATGGGCTGCGAAAAAGCGGCGGTGCTGGATAGGAATAGCTAATGGGTGTGTACTAGCGTTAATTGCATTAATAGTAAATAATAATGTTATGTAACAATAATATAATAATATTATAGTAAATAATGTGTTATACTAATATCATAATATATTATAGTAAATAGGTGCACAGAACATAAAGAGGGAAAGGTGGAGGTCAAAACAAACCTGCGCATTCTCTAGTCCTGCAGCTCCCTTCAGAGTTCAGGGCAAGCTGTGATTCTGGGGGCTCTGGAGGCCCCTCCATCCTGGGCTGTAGCACACTGTGCACCTTGAAGGGATTCCCGGGCACACGTGAAATGAGCTGGTAGCAGGAGCTGAAGTGAAAGGGCTAATAATCACAGGATCACAGAATCAACTAGATTGGAAAACCTTTAAGACCTTTAAGATCAAGTCCAACCATTATCCCAGGACTGCCAAGACCACCACTAAACCATGTGACTAAGGGTCTCATCTACACAGTTTCTGAACACTTCCAAAGGTGGCGATTCCACCACTTCCCTGGGAAGCCTGCTCCAATGCCTGATTACCCTTTCAGTGAAGAAATTTTTGCTAATATCCCATCTAAAATAATGTGTTGGTGAGAACAGACTAGGTGAGGAATGTTGCCCAGGAGCAGCATTTGGGGTTAACCTGTCTGAGGGCATGCATGTGCTCACAGACCTTATCAAGGTAAGGAGATAGATTCTTGCTGCAGATGCAGGGTGTGTGGTGACACAGAGCAGACATCTGCCCTCAGCTCACTTGTACAGGGAGAGCTGCTGACGGGTGGAACACACTGTGCATCCAGTGGGAAAATCCAGCCTCAAGCCACCTTGGTGCCACCTTGCAGCTGGAGGAGGTGGATGGTGGTTTTTCAGGGAACTGAGGTTTAGACATGCTCTTTCTCTCCAAAAGTGTCCCTTGTGCCTAGAAGCCTCCAGATGAAGTTTTTGCACAGCCTTCCCATGCAAAACTGTGCCTCCTGGCTCTGGTACCACACATCTCAGGGAGAGGAGAGCTCTTTTAAGGAGTTCTGCAGACACCAGTCATTTCAGTAATGCAGAAACAGCGTTTGATAGTGAGCTGGAACACAATGTTAAAGGTCTTCAACTGAGAAAGGAATTCATATTATCATACCTCACTTCTTTTGGACTCACTTCCCTCTGTATTATAGAATCATATAGAATCATAGAATAGTTAGGGTTGGAAGATCATCTAGCTCCAAGCCACCTGCCATGGGTAGGGACACCTCACGCTAAACCCTGTCACCCAAGGCTCTGTACAACCTGGCCTTGAACACTGCCAGGGATGGAGCATTTCACAACTTCCCTGTGCAACCTATTCCAGTGCCTCACTACCCTCACAATAAAGAACTTCTTCCTTATATCCAGTCTAAACTTCCCGTGTTTAAGTTTGAACCCATTACCCCTTGTCCTATCCCTACTGTCCCTAATGAAGAGTCCCTCCCCAGCATCCTTATAGGCCCCCTTCAGATACTGGAAGGCTGCTATGAGGTCTCCATGCAGCCTTCTCTTCTCCAGGCTGAACAGCCCCAACTTTCTCATCTGATCTTCATATGGGAGGTGCTCCAGTCCCCTGATCATCCTCGTGGCCCTCCTCTTGACTTGTTCCAACAGTTCCATGTCCTTTTTATGTTGAGGACACCAGAACTGCACACAATACTCCAAGTGAGGTCTCACGAGAGCAGAATAAAGGGGCAGGATCACCTCTGTCGACCTGCTGGTCACGCTCCTTTTGATGCAGCCCAGGATACAGTTGGCTTTCTGGGCTACGAGCGCACACTGAAGCCGGCTCATGTTCATTTTCTCATCGACCAGCACCCCCAAGTCCTTCTCCACAGGGCTGCTCTGAATCTCTTCTCTGCCCAGCCTGTAGCTGTGCCTGGGATTGCTCCGACCCAGGTGTAGGACCTTGCACTTGGCATGGTTAAACTTCATGAGGTTGACATCAGCCCACCTCACAAGCGTGTCAAGGTCCCTCTGGATGGCATTCCTTCCCTCCAGCGTATCAACCGAACCACACAGCTTGGTGTCATTGGCAAACTTGCTGAGGGCGCACTCAATCCCACTGTCCATGTCAGCGACAAAGATGTTAAACAAGACCGGTCCCAACACCGATCCCTGAGGGACACCACTCGTTACAGGCCTCCAGCTGGGCATTGAGCCATTGACCACAACTCTTTGTGTGCAGCCATCCAGCCAGTTCTTAATCCACTGAGTGGTCAATTCATCAAATTGATGTCTCTCCAATTTAGAGACAAGGATGTCATGTGGGACAGTGTTGAACACTTTGCACAAGTCCAGGTAGGTGATGTCAACTGCTCTACCCCTGTCCATCAGTTCCGTAGCCCCATCATTGAAGGCCACCAAGTTGGTCAGGCAGGATTTCCCCTTAGTGAAGCCATGCTGGCTGTCACCAAGCACCTTGTTGATTTTCATGTGCCTTAGCATGCCTTCCAGGAGAATCTGCTCCAAAATTTTGCCCTGCACCGAGGTGAGACTGACTGGTCTGTAATTCCCTGGGTCATCCATTTTCCCCTTCTTGAAAATGGGGGTTATGTTTCACTTTTTCCAGTCGTAGGGAACTTCATCACCAGTGTTTTACTGGTTAGTATAAAAGCCTCATTGCACTGTGCATGGGATATACCCCAGTGCTGCCTGCTGAGATAACCAACCCCCTTCCCAGCCTTGGCTGCCTCTCTGTGCCCAGGTGTTTCTCCAGGCACTCTTGTCAGGTATGGCCAGTTCTGGATTGTGTCTGTACATCAGGTCAGACATGTTTGCTTCCCTATGCAATGTCTCTCTTCATCATTACAAGAAGAAATAAACTCTACCCAGAAATAAAAACTACCCGGAGGCAGCAATACAAAGTAAGAAGGCAAAGTTAATATTATATAAATAAACTGTATCTTGCAAGATTTTCTGTGCTTCTAATACAGTACAAGAAATTTGTTACAGTGAGATGATAAAGTAAAAAGTCGCAAAAAGAAGGCTAAAAACTATACCAGTTTGAGCAAATCTTATGCTTCCATGCACATGCCATTTAGATTCAGGGAGAAAATCTCAGCCATATTCATTTCTTTCTTGCTATTAGAGGTTCTTAAGAAGCAGCAGTATAACATAGTGCAATCCAGGGACAGCAGCTGTGGTTCACCACCCTTTATCTAAAGCTTCCTAAAGGATCCATAGCTGGTGGCAAGCTATCACCCACAGTCATTCCTTTACTCTCTTCTGGGAGAGTGTCTCCTGTATGACACCTCTCCTTATGCTGCTAGGCAGGTGTTAGCAATTTTGTGTGTTGAATGGCCATTGCTGCTATGGCCATGAGGCAGATGCTAGCCAGATGTTGTCCTCCTGGCTGACTGGCTCTGTGACGCCAGCCCCTCTTTTGTTGAGGACAAACCTATAGGTGAAAACCTTCATTCAGTGAAGGCTTCCCTAGGGTATATTCAGTTTCATTAACTTGCTTGTGGACGGGAAGATGCATGAATTACTATTTCTGTGTTAAGAAAGGAAAAAATACTACAATTCAAGCAATTCTGCAGTGGGTTGCTTCTCTCCCCAGCCGAACCCCCATAAATCCCTGAGCATTTTTTGACCACACAGTAAATTTCAGTGACAGTTCTGTTTCCCCAGAGATTATGAAGAGGTGAGTAACCCTGGAGCTGATAAACATTTCATTAATGGCCAGGATTTCCTAGTCAGAGTTTATGTTTGGTCAAATGTGATAACTGTTTATGTGCTCCACTGAAGACAATAAATCCTCACTTCAGCCTGTTGCATTCCTCATCCTTGAAGCGTTATCTCTCAGCAGAGGTTACTGTGAGTACTACATCACAGAGAAACACTCTGTGAAATGACGCTTAGAATAGTATTGAAGTGAATTGGTCACTGAAGGCAATGTCATTAAAGATCTGAACTGTGATTCCTTTGGGGGAATAAAAAAATGTTATCCCAAACCTGATAATTCTGTCCACTAATACCAGAACCAAAACAGCAACTGAGTTTCACCATCAGAAAGTTGCCATTTTGACATATATGTGCTTGAAAATCCCTGATGTGAATACTAGTCTTTCATGCACTTCCATCTGGCCTCTAAACATGTAAACAGCATGAAAGCTGGGATTGGCCAAATCCCATAGTGCTGATTTTATGACCTCAACCTCTAATTACCTGGTTCACAGTTAGTGGCAAAACCAAAACCACCACATACAAAGCAGAAGGTGAAGAAAGCCTCTGTTACTGGCAGTAACACTTCTGCAGCTGAATTCTGCTCCTGCCACCACTGCGATGTGTGTGTTCATGAAAGGGAATATAAATTATATCTACTCTGAGCGCAGTTGCAAGAGTGAAATCCTATCAAAGGAGGAATGCTCCTGATGTTTCCTGAAGGGGCTAGTGGGGAAAGAAGGTGATGGAGATTTTGCAGTTCCATGAATCTGCTCAGACATTATGCCCTCTGAGAGCCAGCCAGTACTGTTGCACTGATAGTCAGTTTATCTTACTCAAAGAAATTCTATTTCTCTCTTCCTCAGGAGATCTGTAAAACTTTCATGCCTGGATATGATGAACCCAGAAATGGCAGATGTATTTTGTTCTTCTTAATCACTCAAGTCAACCTCTTCAGATAAATATGAAGCTGGCCCCTCTCTGAAGACATAAACTACACGCGTTGCTGCAAGACCTGAGATGCCTCACCATAGC